TTGAGCAAAAGAAGTGCAGGGGCAGTGCTGAGGTCCAGAGTTCAAGTCCCAGGACTGGCAAAAAAAAAAAGGAAAACCACATTTTATGAGGACAGTGCAAATGACTTTAGCAGATAAAAGACAAGCTTTATAATAAAGAAAGATCTAATATAAATCATCAGATAAGGCAACCAACTCGTATCCAGAAGGCTTTAATAGGCAGCCCATTTATAAAACAGGCAATAAGAGAAAATAGGAATGGTTGGATAATACCATTAAAAGGATGCACAACCAAAATGTATCAGACCAAAGCAATCATGAGGAAGAAAAAAAATCTAGAATTTCTATTGCTGAATACCTAGCAATATTAAGATAATACAGTATTGGCACACTGAAAAGGCAAATAGATTAATGGAACAAAGCAGCCCAGAAAAAGACTGATAGGTAAACTGTCAAGTGTTACAACAGAACAGTGGAGCAAGGAAAGTTAAATAAATGGTGTTGGTCAATTAGGTGTCTATATGAGGGAAAAAAAATCTTGGTCTTACCTCATATTGTATACTAAAGTCACTTCAGATGTATTGCTGATCTAAATGTGAAAAATAAATGCAAGAAAAAAAAGCCATGCTGAATTTTTTTTTTTTTTTTTTTTCGTGGGGCTTGAACTCTGGGCTTGGGCGCTGTCTTTGGGCTCTTCAGCTCAAGAGGAGCGCTCTACCGCTTGAGCTAGCGGTTTATTGGAGATAAGAGTCTCACGAACTTTCCTGCCTGGGCTGGCTTTGAATCTCGATCCTCAGATCTCAGCCTCCTGAGTAGCTAGGATTACATGAGTGAGCCACTGGTGCCCGGCTCATGCTGAATAATTCTTAAAAATTGTAGCACTGGGGCATTTTATTATAAAAAAAAGTTGGGAAGCAAGCTAATGTGAACTTAAAATTCAAGCTCATGACCAACAAAAAAAGAAATTTTTTTCTAGGTCCATCCATTTCCTCACAAATGACACGTTATTCTTTTTTCTTTTTTTCTTTTTGTCTGTGCAGAAACTTCATCATTTGATGTAATCTCATTTGTCGATTCTCTTTCTGATTTGCTGAGCTCCTGGAACTTTACTCAGAAAGTTCTTGTACATGCCAATACTTTCTAATATTTCTCTCAATACATTTCTAATGTTTCATGGTTTTGAGTCTGATGATGAGGTTTTTGATCCATTTTGAGATATTATCAGTGTAACAGGGATCTGATTTTACATATGTAAGTCTGGTTTTCCTAACACCATTTGTCGAAGAAGCTGTTTTTTCAAACATACGTATTTAAATTCCTGGATTTCTGTCTTCCAGTTTATTCCATTGGTCTTCAAGGCCTGTTTTTGTGCTAGTACCAATTATTCTTGTTATTGTAGTTCTGTAGTAATGTTTGAAGTCTGGAATTGTGATGCCTCCAGCTTTGCTGTTTTCCTCCAGATTTGCTTTGGCTATATGGTTCAGTATGAATTTTTGGATTGTTTTCTCTAGCTAAGTAAAATTGACATTGGGATTTTGATGGGTATTGCATTGGATTTGTATAGCTTTTGGCAATATGACCATTTTCATAATTCTTCTGCTGATCCATGAACATATATATGTCTTCTACTTCCTAGTGTCTTAATTTTTTTTTCCAGGCTTCTAAGGTTTCTGTTGTGGAAGTGTTTCACTTTGTTAAAGCTTGCTTGCTTTTTCTCTTTTCTTTCTTTCTTTCTTTCTTTCTTTCTTTCTTTCTTTCTTTCTTTCTTTCTTTCTTTCTTTCTTTCTCTCTCTCTTTCTCTCTTTTTCTTTCTTTCATACTGGGGATCGAATTTAGGGGATCACATTTGCTAGACAGGTAGGTACTCTACCACTTCAGCCACACCTCTAATCCATTTGATTAGGTTTATTCCTAGATTTTTGTTGTTGTTGTTTTTGTGTTGAGGTTATTGCAAATCGTAGTGGTTTCCTGATTTCTCTTTTGTCTATTCATTGTTAGTATACAGAAAAGCTACTGATTTTTGTGGATTAATTTTGAATCCTGCTACTTTGCCAAAGTTACCAATCAGCTCTAGGAGATTGGGGAGGGGGTCTTTAGGATCTTGTAGATATATCATACCATCTTTGAATAGAGATGTTTGACTTCTTTCCCTATTTAGATCCCTTTTATGTCTTTTTTCTTGCTTTATTGCCCTGGCTAGGAATTCTAGCATTATATTGAAAAGAATGGAGAAAGTGGACATCTTTGTCTTGTTCCTCATTTTAGAGGAAATGTTTTTTTTAACCATTAAATATGATATTGGCAGTAGAAGCATTCTTCTGCCTTCCTAGCTTTTCTGCTCATTTCTGGAACTCTACCACTTGAGCCATGCCTCCACTGTTGGCTTTTTGTTGGTTATTTCGAAGAGTTATATGTCTTGGCTGCCTCCAAATCACTACATTTCCATCAACATTGTATGAGGGACACTCCCCCTCTCCCCCAATATTTGTCAGCATTTGTTGTTTTCTTGATGGTTGCCTTTCTAACTGGAGTGAGATGGAATCTTAGTGTGGTTTGATTTACATTTCCTTTATGGCTAAAGCTGTTGAACACATTTCTTCATGTATTTTTATCCAGTACTGGAGCTTGAATTCAGTGCCTCGTGCTCTCAGCTTTTTTTTTTCCCTCAAGGCTGGTGTTCTGCTACTTGAACCATACCTCCACTTCTGGCATTTTACTGCTTATTCTGGTGATAGAGAGTTTCTTCAATTTGTCTGCCCATGCTGGCTTCAAACCAAGATCCTTAGATCTTAGCCTCCTGAGTAACTAAGATTACAAGAATGAACCACTAATGAATGCCAGCTCTTCATGGATCTATTAGCCATTTGTATGTTTCTTTTTTTTTTTTTTTTTGGGTCCGGTCGTGGGGCCTGAACTCTGGGCCTGGGCGCTGTCCCTCAGCTCTTCAGCTCAAGGCTAGTGCTCTACCACTTGAGCCACAGCGCCACTTCTGGCTTTTTTCTTTTTGCTTATGTGGTGCTGGGAATTGAACCCAGGGCCTCAGGCATGCAAGGCAAGCGCTCTACCACTGAGCCACCTTCCCAGCCCTGTATGTTTCTTTTATATCTTTTTTTTTAGGTTCTTTGAATGTTCTTGCTATTAATTATTTATCTGTTAAATAGCTAGCAAAATTTTTTTCCCATTCTGTCGGTTGTCTCTTGGTGCTTGTAATTGTCTTGCTATGCAGAATCCTTCAAATTTGGTACAATACCATGTGTTAATTCTTTTTTTGGGGAGTCAGTCATGGGGCTTGAACTCTGGGCCTGGGCACTATCCCTGAGCTCTTCAGCTCAGGGAAAACACTCTACCACTTTGAGCCTGGCACCAATTCTGGTTTTCTAGTGGTTAATTAGAGATAAGAGTCTCATGGACTTTCCTGCCCCGGCTGGCTTTGAACCTTGATTCTCAGATCTCAGCCTTGTGAGTAGCTAGGATTACAGGCATGAGCCACTGGTGCATGGCTGCATTTGTCAATTCTTCTTTTTTTTTTCTTTTCTTTTTTTTTTTTTGCCAGCCCTGGAGCTTGAATTCAGGGCCTGGGCACTGTCCCTGAGCTTCATTTTACTTGAGACTACTTGAGACTAGTACTCTACCACTAGAGCCACAGCACTGCTTCTTACTGTGTGTGTGTGTGTGTGTGTGTGTGTGTGTGTGTGTGTGTGTGTGTGTCTGTGTGTGTGTGTCTGTGTGTGTGTTTTGCTAGGCAAGCACTCTACCACTAAGTCACATTCCCAGCCCTCCTTTTGTCAATTTTTGATCACATTCTCTGAGCATCTGGTATTCAGAAAAAAATCCACCTGTGCCTATATATCTTCCAGACTTTTTCTACATTTTCCTGTAATAGATCAGAAGTTTCAGGTTTTGAGTTCCTTGATCTAATTGGAGTTGATTTTTGTATGAGGTGAGAGGTAGAGGGCTAGTTTAAAAGATTATTCTGGGGCTGGGGCTGGGAATGTGGCTTAGTGGTAGAGTGATTGCCTAGCATGTGTGAAGAAGCTCAGGCTCAATTCCTCAGTACCACATAAACAGAAAAAGCCGGGAGTGGTGCTGTGGCTCAAGTGGTAGAGTGCTAGCCTTGAGCAAAAGTTCAGGGACAGTACCCAGACCCCGAGTTCAAGCCCCAGGACTAGCCAAAAAAAAATATATATATATCATTCTGGCCAGGTACCTGTGGCTCACAACCACAATCCAAACTACTTAGGAGGCTGAGATTTAGATCAAGGTTTGAAGCCAGCCCAGGCAAAAAAGTATTCAAGACCTCATCTCCAATTAATGAGCAAAATGCTGACTGGACGTACGACAAGAGCTCAAGGCTAAATTTAAGCCCTGGTACCACTCCCCCCAAAACAAAAAATGTTTATTCTGACAGTAAAGTGTGACAAGCAAGGGTGGTAATTGGAGAAACAAGTTCTGCCAAACTTTTGTAGTAATCGAGGTGAAAGATGATGATGACAGGTGAAAAACTTTTAAGATAATCATTTCCATAGATGTAAACATTTTATTATTGAGGTCATTTCAGATTTTTATGTGTATGCATATGTAACATAAGTATACAACATAAAAACAAATTATATATTACTACAACGTTTTGAGAATGTGTTCACTTTTCATGTGTTGTAGTTATTTCCATTTGTGAACTTTTTTACTACTTAATGACTCACAAAGATTTCTGAACAAAATGAGATGCATAAGTTTCCTTGTGTGTATGTAGTTTGTGTATATGTGCTTGTTTGATGACTTTTTATAGATTTAAAGTATACATATATATATAGGCCTGAACCTCACCATGTATTTCAGGCTGAGTTTGAGGACAGCTTAGGCTGCAGAGTGAGAATATGTCTCAAATTTTAAAAAAAGAAAGAAAAAGATTGGAATTAAGTTCTTCCTTTGTTCTTTCCTAGTTTTATGATTTTTAAGCATATTATTTTCTAAAGTAGAAGTTAAATTTAAACATTTAAAATCATGTTTCTTTTTTATTTCAGCTTTACCAACAGGGGCGCTTATGTCAACTGGGCAGTGAATTTTGTGAATTAGAAGTTTTTGCTAAAGTACTGAGAGCTTTGGATAAAAGGTAAGAGAGAGAGAAAAAAAGAGAGAAAATGTGTGTGTGTGTGTGTGTGTGTGTGTGTGTGTGTGTGTTGCCCAGAACTGTTTGCTTCAGTCCTGCTGCTTCAGCCTCTTGAGTAGTGCTACTACAGTTATGCATCATGGTATTTGGTAATAGATTTGTTCTTTTAAAAAACTTGTGGTAAGCCGGGCGCTGGTGGCTCACGCCTGTAATCCTAGCTACTCAGGAGGCTGAGATCTGAGGATCACGGTTCAAAGCCAGCCCGGGCAGGAGAGACTGTGAGACTCTATCTCCAATAAGCCACCAGAAAGCCGGAAGTGGCGCTGTAGCTCAAGTGGTAGAGTGCTCGCCTTGAGCTGAAGAGCTGAGGGACA